AAGTGGACCACTGGGGCCTCTGAGGTGCCCTCATGAGCTGCCTTACGTGGTAGGTTATGGATGAGAATATAGAAAGGAGTGTGGAACGGGCCTCTGAGAAACCTATGAAAATAGGCCACTCCTGGCGCTGTGGTGTAGTAGGCTAAGCTCTGTCTGCAGGGCTGGCATCCCATATGGGTGCCGGTTCGAGTCCCAGCTGCTCCACTTCTGATCCTGCTCTCTGCTATGGCCTGGGAAAGCAGTAGAAGATGGCCCAAGTCCTTGGGCCCCTGCACCCACATGGGAGACACAGAAGAGGCTTCTGGCTCCTGGCTTTAGATCAGCCCAGCTCCAGCCATGTGGCCATTTAGGGAAGTGAACCAGCAGAAGGAAGACCTCTCTCTCTGTGTCTCCCTCCTCTCTCTCGTCTCTGACTGCCTCTCAAATAAATAATAAATCTTAAAAAAAATGGGCACTGATGCCTCCCTCCTGTGTAGGGTTCTAATGTTTAGGAATAGCACAGCACTTGCTGTTTCAAACCCATCAAAGCACAAGGTAACATCACTGTTGTTACAGAACACCCCCAAAACTGCATGGAGAAATTGCTATAGAACCCCCAAAACTGGGTCCACTGGCCCAGCATGCAGCCAGCTGAGACACTGAGGCGGTGGAAGGAAGTAGTTCATTTTGCAGCACGAAGAACCAGGAGTCGAGCACCTGTTGCTCAATTCCCAGACCTCCCAGCAATGGGTGAAGGGCAGTGAATTCTGCAGGTTGAAATGGGGGTCAGCAGTGTGTGATCAGCTTGTGTGCAGGCCTCTGGTTGGTCCACAGCACTCGTGGCCTCCCTTGGATTGGTCAGCGACAGGAGGCTGGCGTGTTCTTAAGACATGGTCCTGGCACAGTGGGTTCTGGCTGGTCACAGGTCCTTGGGTGTTTGGTTCTTACTTTGAGCATGGCTTGGGGTTCCTGCACAACATCTGAGAACAGAGCCCACTGGTAGGATGTTAGCCACTGAGGCGATGGGTGAGTCCGGGGTCTTGAAATTGGAGTCCTGCAGGGCCAGCCTGACCCTTGCACCGTGGCTGTAATGTATTGAGTTAATCGTTAGTAAGGAGCTGACTTGTAATCACCATGGTGCAGGCAGAGGAACTGCGGGCCAGGGGAGACACTGGGGCCTGAGAAAGTCTACACCAAGGGCATCAGGAGGGGTGGAGGCTTGGTTCCACTGTTTAACAGGAGCAGCAGGGGCCGGTGCTGTGGCAAAGCGGGTAAAGCCACCGCCTGCAGTGCTGGCATCCCATATGGGCACCGGTTCAAGTCCCAGCTGCTCCACTTCCAAGCCAGCTCTCTGCTGTAGCTTGGGAAAGCAGTAGAAGATGGTCCAAGTCCTTGGGCCCCTGTACCCACATGGGAAGACCCAGAAGAAGCTCCTGGCTCCTGGCTTTGAATCGGCGCAGCTCCGGCCATTGTGGTCAGTTGGAGAGTGAACCAGCAGATGGAAGATCTCTTTCTCTCTCTTTCTCTCTCTCTCTCTCTGTCTCTCTGAATCTCCTTCTCTCTGTGTGTAACTCTGCCTTTCAAATAATAAATAAATCTTAAAAAAAAAAAAAAACGGGAGCAGCAGGTGTTTCTGGCTCCAACCTGGCTCTTTGCGAAAGCTGATCAGCTTTACTTTTAGAGCAGTTTATTTGTTGACAGACTTTCTGGAAAGTTCACTGAATTCTTTTTTTTTTTTTTAAGCTTTATGTATTTATTTGAAGGACAGAGTTACAGAGAAAGATCTTCTATCTCCTGGTTCGCTCCCCAAAGTGCAGGGCCCAAGCACTTGGATCATTGTCTGCTGCTTTCCGAGGTGCATTAGCAGAAGCTGGATGGGAAGTGGAGCACCGGACTTGAACCGGAGCCCATATGGAATGCCAGCATTGCAGCCAGTAGCTTTACCGCTAAGCCATGGTGCCAGCCCCAGTATTTGGCTGGAATTTTTTTTTTTTTTTATGTTAGTAGCATGTTTAGTTTAGTTTTCTTTGGTGTATTTTTAAAACTTTATTTTGTAAGGTAAAAAGTCTATGAGGAGTAATACAGTGAGCTCCTTGATACCCGTCACGTGGTTTCTGTAATCATCAGTATTCCTGTCTCATCTCTTTTCTGGGTGTACTTTCAGGTACATCTTGTATTGACTTACCTACACACGCAGTGTTTTTGGGTTGTGTTCTAGAAGTTTCCTCTTCCCTGTACCTCATTCAGTGTCACAGCAGCTCCATCCTCTTAGTCACCTGGGAGGATGACTTAAATCATTTTTTCTTTATGTCAGATTATTCACTAATCTTTTTTTTTTTTTTTTAACCAAGTCTTTTATGTTGTGTCACAGCCTAACCCTTGGTAGCCTTACTACCTTGCAGACAGTAAGCCTTGGAGTCTGGGTATGGGACTGAGCGGCCAGAGCTGCCCCTGCCGTACTGGTCTGCTGCTGCCGCTGTCCCATCGCTGTTTCTGTGACTGATGTTCGTGACTGATGTTCCTTGAGGCATCTGTGGTGACGTTGCCTGTTACCTGTGGGCCGGTGGTTCCCGCCCTCTCCTACACAGTGGAATCGCTGGGGGAGCTTCCAGAACTCCTCCCGTGCAGGTGGAACCCCACACGGGTTCAATCAATGCCTGGGGGAGTGAGTGAGCTAGGCACTGGCATTTCTTTAGAACAAAAGATTTCCCTGTGGGGGCTGTTGCTGTGGTGTGGCTGCTCCGCTTCCGACCCAGCTCCCTGCTATGGTGCCTGGGAAAGCGGTGGCGGATGGCCCAAGTGCTTGGTTGGACCCCTGCACCCACGTGGGAGACCGGGAGGAAGCTCCTGGCTTCCAGTCATTGAGGCCATATGGGGAATGAACTATCAGATAGACCTCTCTCTGTGTCTGTGTAACTCTGACTTTTACATGGATAAATAAATCTTTAAAAAAAAATTTCCCTGCGATTCCAATGTGTAGCAAAACTTTGGAACCACTTTAAAAAATATTTTACTATTATTTATTTATTTATTTTTTGACAGGCAGAGTGGACAGTGAGAGAGAGACAGAGAGAAAGGTCCTCCTTTTGCCGTTGGTTCACCCTCCAATGGCCGCCGCGGCCGGCATACCGCACTGATCCGAAGGCAGGAGCCAGGTGCTTCTCCTGGTCTCCCATGGGGTGCAGGGCCCAAGGACTTGGGCCATCCTCCACTGCACTCCCTGGCCACAGCAGAGAGCTGGCCTGGAAGAGGGGCAACCGGGACAGAATCCGGCGCCCCAACCGGGACTAGAACCCGGTGTGCCGGTGCCGCAAGGTGGAGGATTAGCCTAGTGAGCCGCGGCGCCGGCCCATTTTACTATATTTAAAAAAGATTTGTTTGTTTATTTGGAAGAGTTACGGAGAGAGAGGGAGAGACAGAGAGAAAGTGAGAGAGATCTCCCATCCACTGGTTCCATCACCAGATGGCTGGAGCAGCCGGGGCTGGGCCCATCTGAAACCAGGAGCTTCTTCCTGGTCTCCCACGTGGGGCAGGGGCCCAAGCACTTGGGCCATCTTCTACTGCTTTCCCAAGTTCAGCAGCAGGGAGCTGGACTGGAAGCTGAGCAGCTGGGACTTGAACCTGTGTCCATATGGGATGTCGGCTCTGCAGGCGGTGCTTAACTTGCTACCCCACAACACTGGCCCCGAGTTCCTCTTTCCATGGATGACGAGAATGGAAGGAAAAGGTTGAAATGTGGCCAGGCTGGGACCAGAACCCAGTGTTCCTTATTTAGCCTCCTGCTTCCTTAGCCACATGCTGTTTGGTTGGGGCAGAATCCTGCCGCACGGATCCTAGCGAAGTCTGCAGTGTGAAGCTGCAGCCTGGTGCCTGGCCCAGAGCGGGCACCCAGCTGTTAGCCATCGGAGCATTTGCCTCCAATCGAACACTTCTCAGGTTCCTCCCATGTACAACTGATGTCAGTGCGGAGCTGGAAGAGTATAAGGCCGTTTGTTTTCTTGAGCAGAAATTGGGACATCGCGGCAAGTGGCAGTTTTCTGTCTTTTGTCATGGACATTCCTGGCAAATATGCCATTCACCGAAGTGTAGTAGAGTCCCTGCTTTTAAGGAGCAGGCCATCTGGGCGGAGAAACGAGCCGTGTGTGAATGCTTCAGAGTCTTTCCTGCGAAACAGACACGGAGTCAGGACTCTGTAACAGAGGGAAAAACCCAGGGGGGCTGTGGGGACCCCTCCACAGGAATCCCTGTGACTCCTTCAGAGCCCTCCAGCATCGCTGGCCAGCAGGCGGGAGCTCAGCACATGTTCTGAGAGCTGCTTGGAGGTCAGGTGCGTGTCCTTGGTGGCCAGAGCGTCCAGTCCTAGATCAACAGTGCTGACTGGGCCCGCACGTGGAGCCCTGCCCCGGGTGTCTGCTGTGCCTTGTGTCCCGCGTCGTCTCGCGTCCTAGCGGGCATCAGCACTTGGTTCCTGAGTCCCGTGGTTTATTTATGGTTCACCTTCCTCCACCCCGTAAAAATGTAAGTGCCCTGAAACTAGGGGACATTGTCATGTTTTTTTTAAATATGCTCGCTTCTTCTCCGGTGCCAGCACATGGCTCTGGTAGAGCACAGGGCCTCCGAAACTTGGTTGAGTGTGTTACCAACGCAGGGGTCCGAGTGCCCCCTCGTCGCAGAAGAGGCCAAATTGGTCAGCAGGCTCTGGGGGCCAGACGGCTGGCGCTGCCACCTATTGAGTCCCTCTCCCTCTTTGTTCCTGTGTAAGATGCTGAGGGCGGTGCTACCCCACTGCACACACTCTTTAGAGCACATTGGTCTGCAAACGAGGCATCAGAGGAGTGCCTGGCCCAGAGTCGTCCCGTTCAACCTGCTTGTCCCCACAGCCGATTCTCGCACCGTTCCCTCTCCCCACTGGCCTGTTTGAATTTGTGCTTTGAATGACAAACTCAGCCCTTGGGCAGGAGAGCATCTTGTATGGAGCCTTAAATGTTCTCCTCTCTTCTGCCCCCGCTGCAGGGTCTCAACCACTTATGATTCGACTTGTCAAATCGCCCAAGAGATCGCCGAGAAGATATCAGCAGCGGAATCAGTATGAAAGGAGGGGGTGAAAAGACAACCAAGGTAGCAGCCAGAGAGAATCGAGGGCTCAGGATGACTGCGTGAGCCGGGAGGTCTGAAAAACCCTGCTGTGTCAGAGGCGAGTGTGTGTGTGGTGTGTGTGTCTTCGTGTCTGTGTGTGGTCTTCATGTGTGTCTTTGTATGTGTGTGCTTTCGTGTGTGTCTTCGTGTGTGTCTTTGTACGTGTGTACTTTCATGTGTATGTCTTTGTGTATGTGTTGTCTTCATGTATATGTGTCTGTGTGTGTCTTCGTGTGGTGTGTGTCTTCGTGTCTAGTGTGTGTTATATCCGTGCTTTATGTGTGTCCGTGTGTGTCTTCTTTTGTGTCTGTGTGTGTCTTTGTGTGTGCTTTCATGTGTGTGTATGTCTTCGTGTCTGTCCTCGTGTGTGTGTCTTTGTGTCTGTGTGTGTCTTCATGTGTGTCTTTATATGTGTGTGCTTTCGTGTGTGTGTCTTTGTGTATGTGTATCTTCATGTATATGTGTCTGCATGTGTGTGTCTTCGTGTGTGTGTCTTCATGTCTATGTGTGTGTATCTGTCTTTATGTGTGTGTGTGTCTTCTTTGTGTGTGTTTCTGTGTGTGTCTTTGTGTCTGTCCTTGTGTGTGATCTGGTTTTTGTGTATGCGTGTCTCTGTGTGTGTCTTTGTGTGTGTGCCTTCATGTGTGTGTCTTTGTGTATGTGTGTCTTCATATATATGTGTCTGTATCTGTGTGTGTGTGGCTTGTTTCCATTCGTACCTTGAAATTGACACGTGATCCATTCATAGTTTTCAATCACTGAGACAAGCACAACACTACATCGAGTTTTTTTTTCCCTAAAGGGCTCTCACCATTTTCTGCTCTAGTTCAGGGGTTAGGGGATTTCTTCCACTTAGTAGATCTTTCCGACTCCCTCTTTGAGTTGCCATTTTTCCAGCAGGACTGGGGTCTTTCTTATGCTCTACGTGCAATAAATGTAGAAACCGACTTTCGTTGTGGGCTGTGTAGAAGCGCGCTGGGGTTTTGCTAAGGGAAAACTTTTCTGAACTCCCGAGTTCATACTGGTGCCTTTACACCAACTGCAACCCACAGATGTTCCCTTACCCTTCCCTGTTCCAGGTTTGTATTTAAAAGTTTCTCCCACAGTGAGAATCTTGATTTCTATTTTTTTAAATTTATTATTTGAAAGGCAGAGTTAGAGGGAGAGACCAGGAAAGGTCTTCCACCCATGGGTTCACTCTCCAAATAGCAGCAATGGCCAGGCTGGGCCAGGCTGAAGCCAGGAGCTTCATCTGATCTCCCACATGGGTTCAGGGGGCCCAAGGATTTGGGCCAGCTTCTACTGCTTTCCCTGTTCATTAGCAGAGAGCGGGATCGGAAGTGGAGCAGCTGGGATGGGACTGGCATCCACATGGGATGCTGGCGCTGCAGGGGGTGACTTATATGCTGTGCCACAACACGGCCCCAGGATACCCTGATTTCTTTTTTTTTTTTTTTTTAAAGATTTATTGGCCGGCGCCGCGGCTCCATAGGCTAATTCTCTGCCTGCGGCGCCGGCACACCAGGTTCTAATCCTGGTCGGGGCCCCGGATTCTGTCCCAGGTTGCCCTCTTCCAGGCCAGCTCTCTGCTGTGGCCCGGGAGTGCAGTGGAGGATGGCCCAAGTGCTTGGGCCCTGCACCCCATGGGAGACCAGGAGAAGCACCTGCCTCCTGGCTTTGGATCAGCATGGTGCGCCGGCTGCGGCTGCCATTGGAGGGTGAACCAACGGCAAAGGAAGACCTTTCTCTCTGTCTCTCTCTCTCACTGTCCACTCTGCCTGTTAAAAAAAAAAAAAGATTTATTTATTGAAAGGCAGAGTTAGAGGGAGAGGGAGAGTCAGAGAGAGTTCTTCCATCTGCCTGCGTCACTCCCTAGATGCCAAGATAGCCAGAGCTGGGCTGATCCGAAGCCAGGAGCTTCTTCTTCCCGATCTCCGCTGCAGGAACAGGGTGCCCGAGGACTTGAGCCATCCTCCATTGCTTTCCCAGTCCATAGCAGAGAGCTGAATTCTGAAGTGGAGCATCTGGAACTCGAACCAGCATCCATATGGGATGTCAGCCCTGCAGGTCATGGCCTATAACCTACTTGTGCCATAGTGCCAGCAGGGAACCCTGATTTCTAAAAGCATCCATAGATTTGTTTACAATTATTTATTTATTTGAGAGGTAGAGTTACAGACAGAGAGAGGGAGAGACAAAGAGAAAGTGTTCCATCCGTTGGTTCACTCCCCAACTAGCCTCAAAGGCTGGAGCTGCACCAATCAGGAGTCAGGAGCTTCTTCCAGGTCTCCCACATGGGGTGCGGAGCCCAAAGACTTGGCCATCTTCTACTGCTCTCCCAGGCCATAGCAGAGAGCTGGATCAGAAATGGAGCAGCCAGGACCAGAACCAGCACCCATATGGGATGCTGGTGCCTCAGGTGGAGGGTTAACCTACTGTGCCATCCATAAAGTTTTTTTTTTGTTTTTTTTTTTTTTGACAGGCAGAGTGGACAGTGAGAGAGAGAGAGAGAGACAGAGAGAAAGGTCTTCCTTTTGCCGTTGGTTCACCCTCCAGTGGCCACTGCGGCCAGTGCACCGCACTGATCCAAAGCCAGGAGCCAGGTGCTTTTCCTGGTCTCCCATGGGGTGCAGGGCCCGAGGACCTGGGCCATTCTCCACTGCACTCCCGAGCCACAGCAGAGAGCTGGCCTGGAAGGGGGGCAACCGGGACAGAATCTGGCGCCTGACCGGGACTAGAACCCGGTGTGCCGGTGCCTCTAGGTGGAAGATTAGCCTATTGAGCCACGGCGCCGGCCCATCCATAGAGTTTTAACGTCAGGATCTTTCTTAACAGTTTACAGAAAGAGTTTCAGAATTGCCACACAAGTACCACTGTAAACACTAGGAAATCCCCAAATTTGTGCTTTTTTTTTTTTCTCTAAACTTAGGCCTATCTACCTAAGCACACGGAGATTGTTCTGTTCTCAGGTTATTGGGGTTGGTTCCTTTTTTCCCCCCATGTCATGATGGGTGATGCAATCCTTTGTTCCTGCTTTTGTAAGGTTTGCTCCCCCACCCCCACCCCAACCTATTTGATTTAAAATCAGTGAAACACTGAGACGGGTCAGAAGTCACACTGATGTGCAGAGGCTCCCTGGAGGCGCGTGCCTGCCCCCCCCCCCCCCCCCCCCCCCCCCGCGCACCTGCTTCTCATTCCCGCCCGGTCCGCCCTTCTGGGCTCTGCAGAGTCACCATCCCTCTGTGTCCTGATTGGCTTCTGCTTGTATAAAACACCAGTAGCCTGCTCTTATCCCTGCGAGTGTGTTGTAGGGAGCTCCCGCTCCCCACCTTCACTCCCAGAGACATCTTCATTCCCCTTACGGCCTCTCTAGGACTCCGTGGCGTGCAGGTGCCACAGGCCATCCATCTCCTAAGGGCGGGCCATCAGGTGGTTCCCGTCTTTCACTGTGTTCAGGGATGCTGCAGGGGCCGGCGCTGTGGTGGTGCAGCAGGTAAGCCGCTGCCTGCAGTGCCGGCATCCCACATGGGCCTGGCTGCTCCACTTCCCATCCAGCTCTCTGCTGATGCCCCTGGGAAAGCAGTGGAAGATGGGCCAAGTCCCTGGGCCCTGCACCCACGTGGGAGGCCTGAAAGAAGCTCCTGGCTCCTGGCTTCTTCCTGGCCCAGCCCAGGTCATTGCATCCATTTGAGGAGTGAATCAGCAGATGGGAAGATCTAAGTCTGCCTTTCATATAAATAAATAAATAAATAATCTCAAAAAAAAGTGATAAATAGGTTTGTCCTTTTTTAAAATAATTTTTTTGAAGGTGTCTTTTAAGGGTGAGTTCTGAGAACTAGGGCACATGTAAATTTTTTTAAAAATCTGCAGCCTTCATCCCCCTCCCAGGGGTCAACAACCTCAGTGCCCTCTGCTGGCTGGGTGTGAGATTCTGCACCGTCACAATGTGGACAGCAGAGGGCGCCATCAGCCTTCTGAATTTTTCCCAAGTGAGCAGTGACACTACACTGCAGTGTAGTTTATTTTTGTAGGTAGGGATACAGAGAAACAGACAGACGGAGCCCTCATCCACTGCTTCCTCCCCAGATGCCTGTAATAGTCAGCACAGGGTCAGACTGCAGCCGGGAAAGGGGGACTTCATCCATGTCTCCTTCGTGGGTGGCAGGGGCTTTAGCCATCGCTTGCTGCCTCCCAGGGTGTGCAACAGCAGGGAGCTGGAATTGCGAGTGGAGTTGAGACTCAAAGCCAGGCACCCCAGTATGGGATGCAGCCATCCCCAAAGCGTTTTAACCATTGCACCAATCCCCATCCTGGTTGGTTGGTTGGTTGGTTTGCTTTTTCGTTAAGTGAACTTGATTGTTAATCTTTTTTTTTTTTTTTAAAGATTTATATATGTATTTGAAAAGCAGAGTTACAGAGAGAAAGAGGCAGAGAGAGAGAGAGAGAGGTCTTCTATCCGCTGGTTTACTCCCCAGATGGACAAGACAGTCAGAGCTGTGCCGATCTGAAGCCAGGAGCCAGGAGTTTCTTCTGGGTCTCCTACATGGGTGCAGGGGCCCAAGGACATGCACCATCTTCTACTGCTTTCCCAGGCCATAGCAGAGAGCTGGATTGGAAGAGGAGCAGCCAGGACTTGAACCAGTGCCCATATGGGATACCAGCACTGTAGCCATCGGCTTTACCCGCTACACCACAGCACCGGCCCCTTGTGGTCTTTTGTTTCCTGTGCTCCTCGTGATCATGCTTAGAAGGGCCTTTCATACCCAGAGGTTTTATAAATATTTCAGCCAGTTATCCCTTTTTTTTTAAGCTTTCTTTCTGTTGTGTTTGGTCTTGGTTTTGGGGAGAAAGTCTTTGGAATATTTGAGTTTATTTCAGTGCTTTGTAGCTCTCTCATTTCTTCTTCCTCAGTCGCTGTTACTAGTGCCCCCTCTCCCCAGTATAAAATGCTCCATGTTAGGGCCGGCACTGTGGCATAGTGT